AAGGAAGGAAGGAAGGAAGGAAGGAAGGAAGGAAGGAAGGAAGGAAGTAAATAAAACGTTAGCTCTCTGAGACTTGGTTCCCAGACTCACTCTAAGTGAAATGACAGAGCCAAGGGAGAAATCCAGGCCCCCAGATTCCCCAGCCAGCCTAAGGGCTCCTCTAATTCATGCTGACATTCTCACGAATATCTGTGAAGTGAATACACAAACAGCCGCAGAGGAGCGTCCACCCAGCCATGCCCCAGGACCAGGTCTGACACCCTGCTGAGGTGCAATGCCATGCCTATACTGGCTGCTAAAATACTGAAGCACTTCTAGACCAGTTGGAAAACAAATTCTTGCCTACCCATCTATTTCAACCACCCCAGGTACCCTGGTTCCTCCTCATGGGCACTTAAGTGTCCACCCCATGATCAAGTAACTACAGGGTGGTGGCCGCCACAAGAGCACCCTCCAGCTCTCCACGCTGGCCCAACTGCCTGAATCTGTCCTGATACCTGATGCCCATACTGTCTTGGTTGTTAATTACTTTGAGAAATACCTTTCACAAAACAAGTCACAATCAGAGCTATTCATCAGAAAATTAATTTGCCTAAGAGTACTCTGTCTTCTGTACATACGAACTTAATTTTAAAGAGGTTTGAATAAAAAACTTGACCTACAGTTAACTCCTTTCCTTTTTATCTATCTGGCTACCTCACTGCATTGTTCACACAGTCACTCAACTCAAATTTCCAGAGCCAAGGGCAGGGCTGAGCCCTGGATTCAGAGACACACACCAGTTCCTACCCCCAAAGTGCCTGCCCATTATACTACACAGGGGCTCAGGTAGACTGAAAAAGGAAGGAGGGGCCTACAACACCACCAAGTGGATGATGTGTGCTACAACAGAGGAGCTTAGCTTGTTGAGTGCTGTGGAATAGAAGAAGGGGCCTCACAGTTCAGTGGGGTCAGGGAAGGTAACCCTAGACAAGAATCTGCAGGGACACTCAGGAATTCACAGATAAAAAAGAAAGCCATCCGGCACGCGGGCGAGCATAAGCAAAGGCACCTAGAGGCACAAACAGTGCCTTCAGGAATCTGCACGCTTTCCAGAGAGGTGAGCACAAAGGAGACTGAACCAATAATGTGGGACCAGATGAGGAGGAGCCAGTGTTTGAACCGGAGAACTGCCTCACTGCTGAGGAGCCCACATTTCTCAAGGGGTGACCTCTGGTAGAGCAAACATGACGCTCCCCTTTCAACAAGCTGTAATTCTCAGTTTCAGGTTCACAGCACACAAGAACTCCCAGCTGAAAGGCACTAATCTTCAGGGCGACTAGACAAAGACCTCCCCATCCCACCTGTTGTAAGCTCAATTACTAGCAAAAAAGACATCTGAGAATCCCTAGATCAAAGGAGTTATCAAATATGCTTCAGAAAGAATCTGAATACATTCGCATGTGAACATCCAATTTCAGTCAAGCTTGCCTCAGAGAAGATGAATTTGCTGCCTGGTGACTGTTGAGAAGAGCACTTTTCTGTTATTAAGCCTTCGCTCCCAAACTTGAGATCCTCTGCAGTCATTAAATAACGGTTCTGCTGTGTTGCTTCCAAATCTTTTTCACTGAATTTCTAAGGAAATGAAACAAATCATAAGAAAGTTTTCATCAAGAAAATATATTGAGATTTTCTTAAACTCTTTAAAGGGAGATTTTTTTATTTTGTCACAAAACCCATACGTACCCTAAATAATTTCCATCATCTCAAAATATTAGGCAATTATGTAGCTGTAATGCAACTCCATTTGCAAGTTATCACAACTTGGAGAATGGGGAGAAGCATGCTGGCAAGGAAGTCAAGGACTGTGGCAGTTGCCATGAGCTTTCCTCAACCTGTCACCACTGTGACTACCCCTCCTTTGGTGGAAGTGGAGCTCTGACCACTTGTTCTACCCCTGCTCAGGGCATAGGACCCGTGGGTCCATTTCCTTTCCAGTCACTCTGTTGAATGATTAGAGGGCCTGTATATTAACATCCAATGAAGCCTTAGTTTCCCCAGAAACTACAAATGTGGAAAAATTTGGATGGTCCACATCCATAAGAAAGAAAAAACTGAGAGTGCATATACAGCATTAGCGTCTGCTCACACACACAGGCTTTCTTAATAACGCACAATGCAGTTACCATCCCTACCTCCTCAGAAGCCTGAACCCAACGAAACAACAGGACTAGAGACTATGCCTCCAGTCTCTGGCCAACTACAAGCCTGGTTGAATCTATTCCCAATCATTTAAAACCTGGTAATTCCTATGGGGCTGGAAAGATGGGTCAGTGGTTAAGAGCAGTAGCTGCTCTTGCAGAGGACCCAGGTTTGATTCCCAACACCCACATGGCAGCTAACAACCATCCATAACTCCAGTTCCAGGGGATCTGACACCTCATCTGACCTCTGCAGGCATTGCACAACACAGGTGCACTTACACACAAGGAGGCATACACTCATACACATAAAAAATAAAAATAAAATAAAATTTTTAAAAACCTAGTGATTCCTAAACTAGGGCTTTGTTCACTATGGGAAATCAAGGATAAGAACTGCATCTTACTCCTAAGCACCTGGCAGAATTAATTTATTTTGGCAATCATTTAGAAGAAATTCGGTATAGCCCAGGAAGAGAGAGAATTTTTTCTAAGACCCCACTGAACTCCAACAGGAAGAATTAGGCATCAGTCAACACTGCCTGTCTAGAATTGCCTTGTACGGCTGTATTTGAATTACGCTTGTCATTTTCATGTTTTTAGCAGTCAAAACTGCACTGCAAGACTTAACTGGAGAAGAGCAGTCCCTCCTCTCCAGTCCTCACCCCAAAGTCTCAGTCCCACACAAAACAACTCAGAACTCTTTATATGTGCCGCCTGCTTGTGACTTCAAGTGTCTACATCACATTTCTGACATTTCATTTTTATCTATTGGCTCCTGACATCGAGGTTGAATGATTTCGCTCTTACGTCAGCCATCTGCACCTCAACACCTTTCCTAACAATTACATCGTAACTTTAGTTAAAACCATATCCGCATCTACACAACAGCCATGTAGACATCGCTCGGCGAGGCACCTCCCTTGTTGCACTTCCTTCATGTTCAATTCTTTGCACCCTTAGAATAAGTAACTGTTTTATTCTATTTGTTTTCCTAGTTCATAAAATTAAATCATTTCTAAATGTAAATTTTCTCCAAACACTCGGAAAGAAACGAACAATCCCTCTCAGAGGAGTCAAACACATCAGTAATAGATCAGCTCGACTATAGTTTGCTGGAGGAGTCCCAGATGGCACCTCCCTCAAAAGCCCAGACCTGGGCTCTGTACTTCGCTACTTGGTTATCACTCTAGACTCCTAGTCTAGGAGTCCCCTTTTTCTGGGCTCCACGTCTCTCAGGTTAGTCCCCGTATTCATATGGACTCGTCCTCTGAGAACTTCCGGCAGAAGCACAGCTGAAACACCTTGCTCTGCTCTCACACTGGCGGACGGGCTGCCTGAGAAGAGACTACTGGGCTGGAAATCACTTTTCCTCAAAGCCACTGTCTCTTTGGAGTTCAATTCAGCTGCTGAGAATTCTGATGTCATTCTGAGTCCCAGTTCTTTGCATGTGATCTGAATTGCCCTCTCTCTGGAACCTTTTAGATCCTTTCTTCATCGCCATGTTCTGAAGTTTCACAATGGCTCAACTTGCCATATGGGTCTTCCTTCATAACTTGTGCTAGAAACAGCAGGCCCTTGCCACTCAGAAACAGCTGTCTTTCCATTCTGGGAAATGGCCTCCCTCTGTTTCGTCTGTTCTGTCTTCTCAGAACTCCTCTTAGTCATATTTTAGACCTCTTGAAGTAGCCTCTAATTTTCTTATCTTTACCCTTTTCCAAACTTTCTGTTTAATTTTCTTTTCTGGGAGACTTACCCAATTTTATCTTCTGCCTTTCTAACTGTTCTACTGTAAATGTTTTATATCAGTAATCATACACTGAGTTTTAGTAGGCCAGTCTTCTTTTCTAGAAATCTTTTTTATTAAATTCCAATCTAACTTCTTTTTTCTCAGTATTGTTACAATTTGTGTATGTGTATGTGTATGTGTATGTGTATGTGCACTGCCATGTATGCCATAGTACTTATGGAGGTCAGAGAACAAGTACATGTGTAGTCTCTAGTCTCGTCTCCTTCTACCTTTTTGTGGGCTAAAGGGATCTAACTCAGCTCACCAGACTTACCTGGCAAGCACTTCTACCCACTGAGCCATCTCGCCAGCCTTGATTAGAGTTCTGTGTCTTTTGTTGTTGCTGCTGTTAAATTTTTAAAAAGATGTTGGGGCTGGAGAGATTGCGCAGCAGTTAAGAGCATCAGCTGCTCTTGAAGAGGGACCCAAGTTCATTCAGTTCCCAGCACCCACACTGCAGCTAACAACCAACCCTAACTCCAGTTCCAGGGGATCCGACACTCTTTTCTGGCCTCCTCAGTCATTGTACAACACATGTGCACTTAAATACATGCAGGCAAAACACTGAAATATATGAAATACAAATAAATAAATAAAATTTTAAAGCTATCTAATTTGCACTGTTTCCATTTCTTCTATGTACTTTGTTTTATTTGTTTTAAGACAGGGTTTCACTCTATAGCTAGACTGGCCTGGTACTATGTAGTCCAGGCTGACCTAACACCCATGATTCTGCTGCCTCAGCTTTCTGAGTGATAGCATTATTACAAGCATAAGCCACCACACTTGGCCCCTATGTACCTATTGTTTTAGCTGTTGTCTTTCCTCTTCAACACTTTTCTCCCATTTGATGAACTCAGGCCACTCACCAACTTTGAAAGTGCTCAGAAACTCTATGAGTATGGAAAGGGTACATCAGACATGGCCTTGTTGGGAGATGCTCAGGTGAGAACCCAGCTTTTGGATGGAGGACCGTGTTCACAGCATCTCTCATTGTTTCTCCTCTGGGAGGACTCTCTCATTCCCCCCATTTCCACTTCCTCCTTCAGTTGCATCTAACAACTCCAGCCAGGGCTTCTCTGCTTTAAAGTCTCCCAAGATCTGTCACTGATGAGGACAGAGTCACCTATACCTGTCTAGAATTCCAGCTAAATTTCCTATCAAAGGCCCAGCTACATCCTTGACCTGACTTTCTGGAATGCAAGATAAGTCAGCTCACTCCTCACTGGCTTTTCATTGCTATGCACCACGGTGGCAAATCCTGTGCAGTTATCACTTGTCCATTCGCTTATCATCTGCCTTAGTCACTTTTCTGTAGCTGTGATAAAACACCATGACCAAGGGAACTTAAAACAGGAAGAATTTATTTGCGCTTATGGTTCCAGGGGAATCGGAGTCCATCATGGCAGGGAGGGGAAGATACAGTGGCAGGAGATGGCATTTTGGTGGCAGAGAGTGATTAGGGATCAGGCAAGGCTTAAGAACACCTTCTAAGACCTCCCAAAACAGCGCCACCAACTGGGGACAAAATGTCCAAATATTTGGAGCCTACAGGGGACACTCTCATTCAAACCACCATATCATCCAAAATTTAGTTAACTCACAGCTGCTGTTGCTCGCCTACTTAGCCCTGTTAATTTATACTTTCTGATTCCATCACTCTTATTTTAATCAAGTTTAAGCTGTAGGAAGCAGGGTTAAACATGTACACTAGATCCATGACAGCCACCCAAGTTGAATCCCTAAAATTTATAACATGACCAAACAAAACAGGTATTCAAAGCCTAACAAGAACAGAAAAAGGACAAGGGAGTGAAGGGCATGACCCAAACACTTGCAGTAAAAGGACCTCAGTGAGGGGCTGGGCACTAGAGCAAATCAGGCCAGGGCTCTGCCACTTAGTGTCTGACCAGGGTGAGCTCTTCCCTTCTCTGAGCTTTGGTTTCTCCTACCTTCCTGAGGGCTGAAGTTCAAACGACATGAGGAAAGCTCTAAGTGCTCCAAAGCACAACAGTGAAGACACTGAAAAAAAAATCATTAAACTGGGCATGGTGGTGCATGCCTATAATCCCAGTTCTCCAAAGTTCAAGGTCATCTTCAACTATGTAGATGGGACATATAAGATTGCGGCATACAAGACTCTGTCTTGTATACAAAAATGTTCCTGCAAGAGTCAAAAGACAACTAACACAAAAGAGATTGAGATATGAAAGAGGAAGTTCGGGTACCTGAACCAGCAGGTCCTTCTGGCCAGCACTTTCCCTCAGACAGCTGATCACCTGCTCTTGAGTATGAAGCTTCTTGCTGCTCTGGCTCAGGAGACCCTTGTAATGCTTCTCCACTTCTTTCTCTCTGTCGTTCACTTCATTGCGTAATTTTTCAACCTCATTTCTAAGGTCCTACCATGAGAAAAAGACGACACAATGGAATTTATTTGATTAAAAAGTACAAGGTGACAATCTCTTACCCACTCAGCTTCCCAAATTATTATGACAACAGAACAAGCTAACAGGTAATGTTTTCAACAAACATGAACTCCTTTTCTCACTTAGATCTGACCAAAACCAGCTTTCAGAATACCAAAAACTTGGAAAAGACTTTACACACAGTATTATTTATAAAGTTGAAAATGAATAAAACTAGTCAAAAGCAGAGAAATAAAGAAAATCATAAAGAATAAAGAGTTTAAAAGTATAAGTAAAACCAAACCAAGGCATCAAACTATAACTGCCATGTGGGTGCTGGAATTTGAACCTGGATCTTCTGCAAGAACAACCAGTGTTCTTAACCGCTGAACTCCTCAGCTCCTATTTATATTTTTATTTTATGTGTATACGTGTATTGTCTGCATGTAGGTAAGTGCACCTGTGTCATGCAAGGCCTGCGGCTGTCAGAAGAGGCTGTCAGATCCCCTGGAACTGGAGTTACAGACAGTTGTTAGCTGTCACATAGGTGCTAGGATTCGAACCCAACTCTTCTGCAAGAACAGCCAGTGTTCTTAACCTCTGAGCCGTCTCTCCAGCCCCATTTCCTAGATTTTTAGACAAATGTACTGCTCTGAGGAAACACATCAAAATTGTAACAATATCCCTAAACAGGGTAATGTATGACTTCCAGTTGATTTTTACATTTTCCCGCTGTGTTTCTTAAATTTTTATTATTTTGCTGAGATTCTATAATGCAAGTACTCTGGTATTCTTTTTGAAATCAGAAACAACTGTCTTCACACTATTTACAAATGCTCTTCTTATA